CAAATAAGTCATATAATATGTTGTTGGAAAGATCTTGAATTCTACTTTCCAAAACAATTAGAATTAGATTAAAATCATTTATAGATAAAAATATATTTCCGAAATAGTAGGATGGTGTCAGTTTTGGATAGAGTTTCGTATCTCATTCATATCTTTTTTGTTATAGATCGGAATTAATATTGTAATATATCATTGGAAAGATAATTTTAAGATATATCCAACCATATAAGATTTGGATAAAGATTATGAGTCACAAAAATTATATCTGACTGTCTTTGAACATCTTTAAATTCGAATAGAATTAGGATTTAAGAAAAAGGAAAGTTTTTATAAAAGGAAAGTTTTTATTTAACTCAAATTCTTTGATTTTATCTTTTCAAAAAGGAAAATTAAGATCTTTTAAAACTTATAGAAGCTTCTAATTAATCTTAATTAGTTTAGGAATATGATTAAACCTTTGGACCCTCCACATGATCATTGGGTCGTAGGTAAAATCCGGTTTGGGCCAAGTTTAGTATTTTGGCTATAACTTCCTCATTATTCATCGGAATCGGGCTTATAATATATCGTTAGAAAGGTTTTTTCAAGCCTCATCCAACTACACCATTATTGGACCCACTTTGTGGACTAAAATAAACTGGAATGCACGTTTTCCATAAAATAGGGTAAGAAAAGCAATATTTTCAAAAACAGAAAGAAGAGATACTTTAATAAAAACATCCTCATCACTAGACTTTTCACACTTTCGTTTCATTCGATTATGATTTGACGTGAAAGATATTCATCACTGGGTTTGGTTTTGGGGAGACACATTTGGTTGTCTACAAATAGGGATCCCTCCAACTATAGCATTTACTTGTTGGTGAAGAGATGAAGGGACGACCTTGAGGTCATGAAGCCAAGGGCGTCCCAACAATAGGTTGAAGGAAACCTTCATATATACAACTTGGAATGTAGTGGCATGTTCTATTACTCCCGCCGTTACATTCATAGTGATTTTTCCAAGAGAGTGGACAGACATTGATTGCCGATCCGTTATCTACAAGATTCATTGGGACATCTATCCTCTTGTAGACTACTGTGAGGTTTAGAGCTTTGTAATGTTTATCACCTTCCGGAGGTAAATTTTGTCAGAAAAAGTGATTAGATTTTTAGGACTAGGGAGATCACTCATAAGGAAGTTAGCCAACCCCTCAGGAGTGGTTTCGGAATATATCCCTATCTTATCCAAGGTGTTCAATACCGCTAACCTATGTTCTCGAGATGTAGCTAGAAGTTTCCATACATTCATTTCGACCTTGGTCTTCTTGAATTGTTTGACAATATCATTGTCCTCTATAATAGGTATGGGAACTTGTTGCACGGTATGAATAGGTTGTGTAGAGATGGGAGGTTGCATTCTCCCAGATCTTGTGAGGACGTCTATGGGTGAATCTTCTTCATCCCAAAAATCGCTTACAGGATATATGACTAAAAGTGGAGGTTCTTCCATATCCTTAAGATAGACGTCTTCATCATCGCTGTCCCAAACCCCATTGATGCTAATATCTTGTTCTTGTGGGATTTAAACTAGCTTCCTGTTATCAATCATCTTCTGAATTAAATTTATGAATTTAAAACAGTTCTCAATGGTATGTCCCCTTGATTTATGGTATGGACAGTAGAACCTATCTGTCCTCTTCAATGATTCAAATGGTCTCGGTTCGAGAGGATTAACTTTATCACTCTCGGAAAGCATTTTGAACATATTAGCATAGGAAGTCCCAATTGGATTGTAGAGTTTATTACTCTTTTTGGGTGTGTCAATTACTTGGAAAGGGAATGGTTTCTTCTCCATAGGTGGAACTTTAACATGTTTGTTTTGAAGCTCCTTTCTTTGTTTCATTGCTAATTCAATAGCTTCACGTAACGAGTCTATTCCCTCCCACATTGATCGTATGAGAATCCAGATTTCTTCCTTAGTTGCAGGTTCTTGTTCAGAAGGAAAATCATCCATGGCATCGAAAAAGGTTTCCTCCTCTTATTCAATTGCATGAATTTATTCAATAGGTTTGATGAGGGATGATGGATCAACATGGTCTTCCTCATCAGATATAGCCAAAGAATCAGAGAGAGGTGCATTGTTAATGCTTGGCTTCTTGCTTGCAGGGGGCAATGGAAGCTTATTGTTGTCAATCAAGTCTTGGATAGCTTCCTTAAGCTTCCAACAGTTCTTAGTGAGATGGCCCCTACCTTGATGGTATTTGCAATGTGCATTGGGGTTCTAGTTAGCTGTTCTCTTTTCAATCTATGGATCCCCAAATGGTCCAATAGGAGTTATAAGACCTTTTGCATTCAGTCGATCGAATGCGGTGTCATAACTCATACAAATAGGAGTAAAGTTCCTCCTAAATGGTTTCTTTTGTCCTTGGTTGTTCATAAGAAGGAATTCACTCAAATTAAAGGTGCTAACATTATTTGAGTGGGTGGTTTTGGAAGAAGGATTGTCGTTCTTCTTGCCTTTCTAGCCACTGTTAGAGTTATTGTTAGCAGGTTTTTGCTTAGCAAGGTCGTCTTCAATGTTAATCCCAATGTCATAGACGGCCTTGAAGGTATGTAGATTGTTTTGTTACTTATGATGCTTGGAGTACTTTTCTTGGAGGTTCTTGATGAACATCCTCACAGATTTTTTTTCACTCGGTACTTCAATCATCCTAGCAGAGGTTTCTCTCCATTTATTAAAGAAAGAAGTGAAACCTTCATTCTCTTTTTGTTTAAGTATTTCAAGTTCCCTATGATCAGTTTCAACTTGAATATTGCATTTATACCTATCAATTAAAGCGTTTACAATTGATTCCCAAATAGAGGTTTTTTTCTTTTTCAAGGGAAAATAACCATTGTTGGCAAATGGTCTCAAGAGATAAGGAAAATAAAGAATAAAATACTTTTTTTATCAATACCCTTAATATTAATTATAGTTTCAAAGGCTCTTAAATGAAAATAAGGGTTATCAGTTGCCTTGAACTTTGGGATGTCGTTGGCATTGAACTTCTGCAGAAAAAGCTCCTTTTCCACCGAGACCCCTTACGAGCTAATGCCCTGGAACCTGTTATCATTGGATATCTTGCTCAAGCTTTCTTGCATGAGCTCCATTTGTTGTTACTTCACAGGGTCATAAATTTGGAGGGTTAAGGTCTTTAGCAACTCAGTAACACCAGCCATTTGCTTCTTGAGCTCATTAACTTCTTCTTGATTCGGCATTATCTTCTTAGCTTTTCTTTTCCGACCGATTGGTTTGTTAAAAAGTTGTACTTGAAAAAAAAGGTTGTCTATGATCAAACGCCCTTCCTTTCTTGACCGCACGATGTAAATTAAACCATTTTTTATTTTAATGACTTTACTCAAATTGACTTTGACTTTACAGGTTTATAAAGAAAAAGAAAAAAGCAAAAATAAGGTGTATATTTTTGGGAACCAAGTATAAGGGTTCAAACAAGTGGTTTAATTGGAGTATTAATATCTGATTTACCCCGCAAAAAAAATGACGGAAAACACGCGCATACAAGACTCTCTAGACATGGTCAAAGTGTACATACATGTTAGTGTGTGCTTTATTTGTGAGTGCAAGTGATATGCTTTAACTCTTGTGTAAGATCATGGGACTAAGTGCTTAGACTCAATTAAGGATCAAATAAGGTTATTGTCATTAACAAAATAATCGAACTGATTAATAGACTGTTTAATTTGACTTTTCGTGATGACTCGAGCAAAATCCTGAACAATCGCCAAAGCAACAGGTATGTCGCCGCACACAGCAGTGCAGCGCCAGACGACACGGTTGTCGCTCAGCGTTGCACAACAGCGTTTGGCGCTGCAGCCCAAATTTTTGCGCCATTACTGGAGCATTAATCTGGGACTGCTCAAAAATTCTCATGGCAATAAGGGTTCATCCGAGTTTTTAAATCCACCCAAACCATGGAGTCAAGTTCAATTTCATCACGAACTCGCGCGCGGAGCCGCCCGTTGGCATACACCCTCAAGGGAGGCTGCCTTGCTAACGCATCCAAACTCTTAACCATGGTACCCTTTGACACCAAATAAACCTAACCATAATCGAACATAGAACTTGAACTTAGGTTGCGAACTACTTTGCATCATTGTGCCTACGTGTTTTATGTTTGGTCATTTTGTTCCTAACTTTAACGATCTTTCTTTGTCTATGGTGGATTATTTTATGACTAACGATTGCCAATGGACTGTACTCACTTCGAAATTAGCGCAAACTAAAAAAAAATTGTCATGCCACGTCAGCATCCACCGCACCGCGGGAATGTTTACCGTGTCACGACAATTTTCACCATGGCACGGTGGAATTCCAAAAAAATAAAAATTGTCGTGCCACGTAAGCATCCACCGCGCCGCGGGAATGTTTACCGTGTCACGACAATTTTCCCAAAAAAAAAAGATCACCGCGTCATGGCAGCTTGTATCTTGACATGGTGCAGTTTGCCGTGTCACGGTGCCTAGGAAATAAGTCCGATCAGGTTTTTTTTAGTCTTCCGTATTAATTTGGTCCTCGCATCAGTCATTTTGGTTACTGTTCACATGTGTAGCCATACGATCATACCACGAGTCTTATAACATCACTTAATCACTCACGAGTCTAGTATTATTCCACCCACTTTTTTTATTTTTTCTTGACTCGAGTCATACACCATGTCATTTATGATCGTATACTAGGTTCATGCACCCCTATTTCCGTTATAATAAAAGATGAGTTGATCGGAGTTATTCTCATCTGTTTTCAAATGAATTTTTTCCCCTTCCTTTCCTATCTTGAGCAATGTGTCAAAAAATTAAGTGCAGTTGTTTTATTTCACAGTACTTGGTCAAGGAGCAGGGATAGATTAATACGGTTTGAGTCATTACCGCAACAATCTCTTAAATCCAAGAGGCGTTTAAAGAGAACTTTGCCATCTCCACGTCACTCATCACCTTCAAACTACTTTCAGTTTGTCCCAATGGCCTCTAAGGAAGATATTGAGAACATTAACAAGTCCATTGAAACAATTTCTAACATTTTACAAGCACTCACTACTAGAGTCAACACTATAGAGCAAAACAAAGTTACCGCGGCTGCAATGGGCAAGATCAAAGAGCAAATGAGCAAGATTTATGAGGATTTCACCTATGTGGAACGGCCTCCCACTCCCTTAGATATGAAGGACAGACTGCCTGAGAAGTTCTCCACTGCTGATATCCCCAAGTTCAAGCCAACTGACAACCCAATGTTCCATTTAAATACATTCTCTGCAACCATGGCTCTCAAAGGATTGGACCTAACACTCTTCCCTACGATGTTCCCTCTCTCCTTAAATCATGCTTGCCAACAATGGTTTTATTCTCTAGATGCCAAACACATTGCAACTTGGGAAGATGTCACCGAAATTTTCATGAATCGTTACAAGTATAACATTCAAGCTAGAACTTCTGAACGTGAACTCTCCATTCTCAAACAGAAAAAGAATGAAGGCTTCACCGCTTATCTGAACAGGTGGAGGGAAACAACTGCACTCTTGGTAAATCCTCCCAAAGAAAAAGAGATGATTCACCTCTTCATCCAAAATTTGACTCACAAGTACAAGCAACATCTCAAATTTCTTCCTTTGAACACTTTTGAAACTGTATATGACATTGGCATCAATATCGAGGATGATCTAATAAAGACTGCCGGTAGTAACAATAATAACACTTGGAAAAACGAGAAGAGCGACCATCCTTCTTCTTCGTCTTCTAAGCAAGAAAATACTACCAACAATATAAGCCAAGTTGATCTCAATGAAGTGTTAGCTCTTGATGCTCCATTGCCCAAGAAGAAAAGAACTTACACTTCTTTAGGAATGACTTATGATGCGGCCTTTGATCGCCTTTACGGTCAAGGCTTGATCACACCTATTGGGCAATTTCCAGAGCCAAAACCTGAAGAAAGGAGCAGGGATAGATTAATACGGTTCGAAGTGCGCCTACGTTAAAGAATGTTGTGAATATGCTTGGCACTCATAGGAAGTGGGAATTGACATAATACGATTAGGGACAAGGAAGGTAGGGAGAAGCCAACAAGTTTTTAAGGAACTTGTAAACCGTTCATAGATCATAAAAAGGAAACCACGATAAGGGATAACGATAGGAAACAACGATTGACTCGTGAAGGTTACACCCCAGCCATAATCCATGAGATTACTAACTCTATATGGTTCGGAACCACGAAAGGAGGATTGGGGATGATGGTACGAAGTGAGTCATGGAGTCACATTCGCCCGTATTGGCCTCTACTCGATTCTTATAGTGAAAAGTGATTCCTGCGATCTCAAAGGCATGCAAACAAAGATTCAATTTTCTCCAAACTATTATTATGCTAAATTGGTTTAATATTAATGCAACTTATAATTCTAACATATTAGTGATCACTTGATTAAACAACAAGATTAAAAAGGAACCTAAACCGATTGTCCAAATTATCTTATTAGGCGTGATTTTCAATTACATATTCCCTTTAACATGTAATATGGTGATCAAACAGAATAAACATCAATATTGGAAGCAATTTAACAATAATAGAGTTAGTCAAATCAAATATAAAATAACCTAATCATGAATAAAACAATATAAAAATAAAATAAGTAATTAAATTAATGAATTACTCACATTCCGCGCGTTCCTTTAAATTACTACATCATGAATAAATTGTTAGTAAATTCAATAAAAATATAAATCAAACAGAAATTAATTTAAATAAAATAAAAAGTAGAGTTGATTTGGTCCAAACCATCAGTTATGTGTACCTTTCACGCCTTGGTTTAAGGACGGAAGCTCGGGTTAAGTATGGACTCCTGGCCTCGGAATGCTTAAGGGAAGAATGGTGTAATTAGGAATATAGGTTTAAAGCTTAGAATATGGGAAAGAGAGAATATAATGATTTTTTGGTGTAAAAGAGAGAAAGAGAGAAGTATTTGATCGTCAAGCTTGTAGATGATTGAAAAAAGGGGAGATATGACATCTGTTTATAGAGAAAAAAAGGGTAAAAAAAAACAAGATAAGATCCGAATTAAATCGGAATAAAACTCGATAGACTGTGTTTATCATATCTTTTGATCCAAAAATTGGAATAAGATAAATAATATGTCGTTGGAAAGCTGTTGAAGTCTACTTTTTAATCCAATTGGAATCAGATTAAAATATTTTTTAGAACAAAAGATATATGGCCAAAATAGTGAGACTGTGTTAGTTTTGGATAGAGTTTGATATTTTATTCATGTCTTTTCCGTTATAGCTCGGAATTGATAATATAATATATCATTGAAAAGATAATTTCAAGGGCTATCCAACCATATAAAATTTGGATAAAAATTATGAGGCACAAAAATCATATCTGACTATCTTTGAACGTCTTTCAATTCGGATAAAAATAGGATTTTCAAAAAAAAGTTTTATTCAATTTCAAACTCTTTAATCTTATCATTTCAAAAAGGATAATTAAGATATTTTAGAAACTTATAGAAGCTTCTAATTAATCTTAATTGTTTTAGGAATGGGATTAAATAATTTGGACCCTCCACATGATCATTGGGTTGTAGGTAAGGTGGACTTAGGTTCGGTTTTGGCTCAGTTTAATATTTTGGTCATAACTTATTCGTTATAACTCGGATTTGGGCTTATAATATATTGTTGGAAAGCTCTTTTCAAGCCCCATCCAATTATTAAATCAATGGACCCAGATTATGGACAAAATAAACTGAATTAAACGTTTTTTAAAAAGGACACGAAATGAATGATTTTAAAGGACACGAAATGAATTATTTTGGGTTTAAAGGCACGAAAAGAGGAAAATAAGTTATGGTTTGGGGAAATGGGCTAGGATTTGCGTTGATTTATGAAATGGAAATATGTATTTAAGCACTCCAAGATTAAATACTCAACCCGACCAATAATTGCAATGAAAGGTTGTTCATCATCAAGTTTGGTTTTGGGGAGACATTATTAGGTGTCTACACTATGTTACCTATATAAAGATAAGAGGTGTTTTTGGTGGCATTCAAAATGAATATTATACATACATAATAGTATCTTAACCTCTCTAAATAATTATAATTAAAGTCACCTTTAAAAATAACTCCTCTCATGGTAGTTATTTTTAAAAATAACTCCATTAATTTAGAAAGATAACTCCTCTCATGGTAGTTATTTTTTATAAAATCAAATAACTACTTCAAGTGTAGTTATGTTAAACTATACCAAGTATACAACAAGTAGTTTAATTTGGAATTTACTTGATGATGTAGATTGAAATTTAATTAGTAGTAACAACATTAATAGTGTGCAAATATTGTATAAGTATTAACAAGTTAAATGATATATAATTGAAATGAAATTTATCTAAGTCCGTTTAGTTAATGACTATAAAAGGAGTATTTTTTATTTTTTATTTATTTTTATTTTATTCTTTCATCGGATAGTCCATCCCTTAAATGTCATTAATCATTATGCAAATAAGTAAAGTATAAAAATAACTAATGAACGGAATATACCGAATCGTGTAAATTTAAAGGGGATAAAATTTAAAGGGGATAGCGTGCAAGTATATAAATTAAATTCGAAGGGGAGTAAATTTGAAGGGGAGTAAAGTATAAAAATAGCTTATGAACGAAATATAAAGTAAATTTGAAGGGGAGTAAATTTGAAGAGGATAGTCGTGCACGTATTGTGCGCCTCTAAACTCGTAGTCTTAATATGGTTACATAATTTTTAATGAAAATTCTTTACTATTAACTACTACACTATTTAAAATATGTTGTTGGTTTATGTGCCATCATCAATGACAATTGTCTATTTATTGTGTTATTTAAACTATTGTTCAAACAATCAATTATACAATGCACTAACATCTACTTCGTATTTTTTTAATTTTTTTCTATAGAAAAAACCAATTTTGTACTTTATGCATAACAAAACGAAAGAATTCCCGATGACACTTATTATGGGTACATGCTCACACTTGTTATTGTTACACGATTGATCTTATACTATTTTAACAGTTTTGAAAAAATTTGAACAAAAATAATAATACATAAATAATGTAGAAGATTGTCGAGTGTGTGCATTGTATTGTCAATTTGAAACGTGTGACTCACGATTCGACGTAAAAGATAAAATGCGAAAAACAAACTTTCTATTCCAGGATTGTTCTTATTTGTGTATGAAGTCCATAAATACTCCCGAGTAACACATAAAATTATAAAATCATCATACATCAACCAAAATACAACTATTTTTGGGAAACGATGTGTTTTTTTTTTTTCACTTAACTAACATGCAAATAATTACAACTTCGTTTTGATTGGTTCATTTATGGGGCTACTTCAATTTTTTTTCCTCTTAATTAATACTGTGGGTCCCATAAATTCCTTCTATTCTCTGTCTTCTTCATTTCCTATTCTGTAACTAATCCTTTGTTATTCTCCTTCCTCTACACTCCAAAAAATGGCAAGTGGCGACTCAAGCAAAAGCATTGTAACATCAAAGCCTTTCAAACCACTGTCCTGGAAGCCCAATCCAACAAAAAATTTAGACAAGAACCTTGCTAGCTTCAACGCCTACTTTGACATCTTGATGGCCGATATCAACTCCTACCGTGATTATCTTGAAGCACGTGGAATATGATCTGGAGCTGCTAAGGAGAAGGGAGAAGAAAGCTCCAAATGTAGAGATCAGGAGTTTCCAATTGTCGTCCTCTCTGATAGCAAAGAAGAAGTCGATCACGTGGATGGTGAAGACGTTGAAAATGGCGATGATGAAGCTGACAGCGACAACGGTGGTGATGATAACCAAGAGGTTGGAGATCAAGACAACCAGGATGATAACCAGGAGGAGCAAGGTGAAAATAACCAGGGAGATGATGAGAAAGAAAACGATGATGAGGTCAACGACGACCTAGAGGAAGACGGTGAAGATGAAGATTATGAGGAAACATCTAATGAAGAAGCCGATACCTCTACTGACGAGGACTCAGACAAAGAGAATGAGCGAATGACGGTGGATCCCTTCGACGCTGAAGGTTATGATGATGAAGGAGATTACTCCGATGACAACTTGTATGATTCTGACCCTGAGGTGGACTCAAATGACTACGGTACTGGCAGCAACAACAACACCAGCAACCAATATCATTGCAGCCATTACCGCAGGTCTCCAGATCACTAAGAAGGTTAGGGTTTTCTGTTTTGATAATTGTTTATTGGGTTTTTTTTATTATTTGGGTTTGTGTGCAGCCCTATGAGGGGTTGTAGTTGGTTAGTTGAACTTTGATTAGTGTAAATTAGTTGTTTAGATCTTTTGTTCCCTAACAATGTCCTGTTCCTATTGAATTTAAAAAGAAAATAACTGTTGTTTGGTGTTGTAACTGAAATAAACTACTTTACCTAAATTGATTAAGGTCATTTAGAATGTAAGTACCATTGTAGTTGTTTACATTTTTTGGATGTTGATATTTATTTATCTTATGCTATTCTTAGTGTTTGTTTGTTTCCATTTAGGTATGATAGTGACAGTGGAATGTTTAATTATGGTTCTTTTGTGTCTCATTGTCATTGAAGGAAACAAATAGAGTATTGTGTGGGGTTTGTCAGGTTTAGTTTATTGTCATTCATAGTAGTACTGGTGTAGCATATGTGTGTTGCATTACTTTGTATGTTGTATAGTCAGATTTGATCAATTAGTGAAGTGAACTTGCCTCGTTTGATAGACCCTATAAGTCCTAAAATATGTATTAACCTTTATTCTACTGTCACTATCATACCTAAATGGATTCTATGGCCTAATATGAAGAGAGTTTTGCTAATCAGTGATTCTATATATAAATCTATTAACCTCTAGCTAGATCACATGAAACAAAATTTCCTCGATCTGCTTTCACAATAGGATGAATTACCAAAAATATTCCAAACTATTGACCATCTTCCCAATTTAATCCAAACTGCTCATTCACTTAGAAAAAACAAATTCGTAAGGGGTAGTTGCTCATATTAGTTTAATCAAGAAATTTGGTTTACTAAACAGGTTAAATTATATATGTTAAGCCCTCATTATTTGGGTTTGTGTGCATCCCTAGGTGGGTTGTGGTTGGGTTAGTTGTTCTTTGATTAGTGTTAATTAGTTGTTTATTTTTATCTCATCTTCCTCGAACCTGGTGTAATGCACTTGTATTAAGGGACTAATGTGTTGTTACCTTTTTTTTGGGTGTTAAGTTGGTATGATCAAGCTGGGACACAAATGTTTTAATGGAATAATGTTTCCTTCACAATAACCATTGACTTGATTTATTTATATCTAGTAGATCAATATTTATATGAGACCTAAAAACATTGAAACAACATAGTAGACTGTATCTTTATTTTTACACAACAAATTCCTTCACAATAACCCACTTGACTCTAGCTATATACACTTTGACTGCCAAAGTACTGAGTTAGGATTCAATGCCACATTGATTATTCTTACTCAATTCCTATATATACTCTCAATGCAGGGATCTATGCATCTTACACCAAGGAAGTAGACTATCTGGCTAAGGAAGAATAATAAACTCTTTACTCCCTTTTGAAGGTCTTATTGGAAATTTATGTATGCAAATATGCAGACTGTTTCTTGTGTATATGCTCTACTTATTTCTAGTATCTTTTGCATGTAGGATTAAACAATTATGTAAGTGTTTGGCCTAGGTTTGAATCTTTAGTAGATATTGTTTAATGCTCTCTAGGGGCTTAACTTTTGAAGGTCTGTAATTATTGAACCTATCTTTTGATGCCTTTTAGGGCTTAATCTAATCTTTTGATGCCTTTTAGGGCTTAATCTAATCATATTTACCAAAATCTCAGAAAATAATTAATAAACCCATAATACATAGTCAAAATATGTAGATAAACGTGCTAATCCATACATAAGTAGCACAGGTAGGAATACATCCCACAAATTAGTACATAGCTGTCCAAGACACCACTTGAGCTTAGTTAATACATAAATAGAATTCTATATGTCCATAGCAAAACATAGTCATCATAGAAATTAAACATCAATAGCATTTTAATAGCATAATATTATTAAACATAGTCATCATAGAAATTCCAGCTACATAGGGATAGTTGTGTGGCACATGCACCATCCCTTGTAGCCTTCAAGCTTTGTCTCCAGTTTAGGCCACTCCAGTTAACATCTCTCCAGCCCCTTCTTTCGCTTCCTTAGAAGGTTCTTCACCACCAGCTATCTCATCAGCTCCTTATGTAGGGGTTTCCTTTGCAGCCTGTCAAATTAGATAAAAAAATATGATAAATACAGTGAACTTAGGATATGCATACAAAAGATTAACATTGTATGTGTAAGGAGGGTGATCCCATCGTAAGGGGGGTCCTTCCTTAGATGCCCATGGCCATTTAAAAGCCTAGGAATTTACACTTGTTAGGGTGTATTAGGATTTGAATTCCTAACTATTTGGGGGACCTTGAATTAGAATTGATTCTATCATTACGCTTTTTTATAAGAAACAAGTAGGAGTCGCCAATGAGTTTTAGGAAAACTCATAAACCTCGTTCATGCCTTTCTTCCATGTGGAGTTCATGGAATAATTAGCATGAATCGTAAGTTTACCCATGCCCAAATTGATCTACATAAACCAGAAATGAGTTCGGGAGCGAGGGTACTAAAATAACGTTCCTTTTAGAGAGGAATCACTATTTTAGCCCTAGTACGGCCTCTACTAGCTCTTCCTTTTTTACAATTTCATTACCAAATAATATATTCAACGCGATACCTATAAATAAGTTAGTTGATTTTATTTACACACGTTAATTTACGTAGGAATTACATTGCAACGTCGTTATTCTTTATTTAATCAATTTCGTGAAAAGAACAAGAAAATAAACAATATTCACCTTGGCTTAAGTGATCAACAAACAGATAATTATCCAATTATAATCTTTACTTAACGTAGGGTACTATGTGGAAATTAATTAGTCCTTTTAAGGTGATCAAACAACACTAATTAATTAATTAAGGTTCTTTTAAACAAGAAAATAAATATGATTTATCTAAGTGCTCGGTAATTTAGCACTTCTCTTTGCTAGATCTCTGTTTAGAACACTTATGGACACCTTCTTGTTGGGGAACCTCCACCGTAGTAACAAAATATCAAGGGGTGAGTGTTTAGGACAAGAGGGGTTAGGTAGCACAAGTTCACAAGTATTCCGCCAGAGTTTTAGGTTATTTTTTCTGTGTGTTTAAGCCTCGTATTTAGCCTTTATTTATAGGGAATGGGTAGGATTAGGGTTTTGAACATTTTGTCGCAGCAGGTGCGCGCGCAACTGGATTAGTTGCGCGCGGCATCAAAGCGCAAGTGATTGGGTTGCGCTGCTATGGGCAGCGCAACTGAATGTCTTGCGCGAGGCATTATGGTAAGATTCAATTCTATATTTTCGTAAATTCTTAATCTTCCGCGAGCGTATCTCTAAAGGTTGCGCTGAGTGTCACGCACAACTAAATTAGTTGCGCGCGCCTTCCCTTCGCGACTGATTGAGATACTCGCGGATTTTCTTATGGCAGCATTAAAATTTAACCTAGGCGCTCCTAAATCCGTCATTATTGGGTTTTAAGCACGGGCTTAAGCCTAATATTAATCGGATTTAGTTAATTAGACCTTGTTTAGCTTTGTTTTTTGGTTTGGGCTAGTTTTTGTGTTTTGTGGGTTAACTAGTTATCCATAAGCATTCTCCACTTCAATCCAACACGAAGATGGTTTTATTTATCGTCATTGCACTTCCTGTCGGGACAGTAGGCCAAAAGTAGATGTCTACAGTATGTGATTTTACCTTAAGGGGTCCTGGCATCCTAAGAGGGCTCTCAGCATCAGCACACACAAGGATCTCATTAGATTCAACCCTGCTTTGGTCCCATATTATAGCAAACCCACCACTTAGCCCTGCACTCTCATCAAATGTCCAATTCATATCATCCTCAATTTCCTTCACAACCTCCTCAAACGACTTCTTACCCACCCTAGTCTCAGAAATGATGACAAATCATTGGTTTGTGGACTTCCTAAATCTTAAGGACATGTCGCTTAAAGGATGTCCTAGTAAAGCCACACGCATTCCACAACACATTAGATGAACCTAACCCAAAATCCTTTTCACTACCAACATAACTTGTTTCAATGCTCACATCCATGAACCTAAGGAAGGGATCAACCTTGTACTTTCCCAAACAAGAAACAACATCGATAGAACTAATTTTAGCATGCAGACAAAAGATTTGCAAACCATCAAAGTAACAAGCAAGTTCAGTTCTTGTTTTCTGAATCTTCAGTGGGTAAATAGGGCCCTCGATGTCTAATTCAGGGATTGGATCAACTATTTTAACCAGAAAATAGGGCACTATCCCACTAATCTTAGAGGTGTCGTAAATGACTTCAGGATTATCAGCATATAGCTCCTTAAACACATCAACTAAGTTAATCATACCAAAAAACATCAACTAAATTAGGGAGAAGGGCTGGAACAAATTTACCTGAGGGGCCAACCATGACCATTCCATCCAATTCCTCACTTAGGGGAATATCTGGACTACGAATGATGTCCATAGTAGTCCTATCGCTGACAATATCCCTCGTTCTGTTTGCCTTCTTCGCAGTAAAGTACGTGAATCTGTTGAAATCCATTTCTGGAGTTCCAGCCTTCCTAGTTTTCCGAAAGATTGTTTTGGTTTTGGTTGCAACAGGGTACCAACTAGCTGGGTAAGTTGGGTTTTAAGGTTAAAGTTTGTGTTTTCCATGGTAATAACTAATAAGTTCCAATACTGTAATTTTACTTTGGTTGGGTACTCTAGGTTATCATCTGTGTGAAAAATATGTGTTGGAGTCTTATTTAGGGATATCCATTTAAATAACAGGTGTCCATCATATGTCTTTTCAAACTGACATGTGCCGTTCATCAAACTCAAATGGATAAAAACTTCATGTCCAGTGCATTCAAAGTAGCGCAAAGAAAATATTCAGTAAAATATAACCAAAAAATTTAAATTAAACAAAAATTTTTAAAAATGAAAATTTCTGAGCAAGTACTACTTCAAGTCCTATTGACTTTACAGAACGGCCTATTATCAAGAATTGCAGCAAAAGTGTTGATTGCTTTTCCCAAAAACCTATTTTACATTAT